TCGCTCATCGAACGCTTGTGCTTCGGCCTGGCTTGACAGCTTCTTTCCGCGTTTGTTTCTGTTTTGTTCAAGGCCGTTGTTGCAGGTGAAGGCAGAAGCTGCAATGCTTGTGACCCAGCAGCCCGGCAACAAACAGGCTCTGCTTGGCCTGTGCACGCTGCCGCTCTATGTCAATCACATCCGCATCCAGCTGTGAGAGCAATGCCTGGGCACCGACCGCACCGACCGCTTTGTCTCACCGAGGTTTCGAGGCCCCAGCAGAGAACTGCGGCAAGCCCTCTGCTTCCTGGAATGCGCGCCGGAGCGCTTAGGTTTCATGCCAGCAAAGCCTGCCTCTGAGCTTGAGCATTGATAGTTGCGGTCCTGTGTTGTAATGCTGCGGCTGAAGAACACACAATGACTTGTGGCTAAAACAAGTGATCTCAGGACCTCATGCAGAAGCTTTGAAAGACCTTGAATGATTCTAGCTGGCACTTCGCTAACTAGCTCTCCTGAGCTGCTTGTCCAGACATTCCCGTCCAGCTGGTATGCGGGCTTCGCTCGTCATCCCTTGTAGACGCATCTCCATCTTTGCACCCGACATCTTGGAAGCACGTCGCGGGCTCCGCTGTCATACTTCCTCTTGCGCCGATGATTCGGGCATTTGCCGGATCTTCGCAACCTTCCGTCCTCGCAGCCCATGGCTGAGCATTCTCCGCCGATGTCTGAGCCACAGGCCGTGCGCCACTTTCACCTCGGCTTCAGCCACGCTTCCGCGTGCGCCGTGCATCGCAGTGTCTTGGCTGCAGGCTGTGACTGGAGCTGACCATGTCCGAAAAGCGCCCGCCCTTCCTGGACAAGCAGGATGTTTTGCCAGCAAGGGATCCGCTGGCAGCAACATTTGCACCATTCGTGGGCATCCCACCTGCGCCGGACTGGGGCGCCTGGGCAGGTACAGCCGCAAGAATACCCTTCATCCGACCAGTGAACATCTATGCCCATAGCTATGCCCATGTGCTGAGCATGGAACTTATAGACTTGGAACCCACAAATCAACCCATCATATTTGCATTTTTGCGCAAATGAAGAATAGATTCGAACCACAAACTCCGGGTGACAGTGACTGACAGCCAAGCTTTGGTGTTGACTAGGCTTCCGGCTTGAAGAGCTCCCGCCCTCTTGCTCCTGCACCTTCTCGGCTATCACTTTGTCTTCACCAGCTGCAGGGCCTGTGGCCTCCTTTCAGGCGCGTGACTAAGAGGGCCGTGAGCCCGGCGCGACCAGGTTACTATCGAGGGACAAGTTCCGACGTGTCAACCGAGGCACCTGAAAAAACGAGCACCCCTGCATGGTCAAGACAGAATGTGCCTCTGGCTTAGGTGCATTCTATGCCTTGAGTCCCATTCCCCAAACAATTTGAGTGATGCCAGCCTCTCACTGGAGCCCACACCCACCCCGAACAAACGCATTCACAAGAAGCTCCTGAGGCTCCTGGTTGAGCTCCTCGCATTGCTCCTCTCGGTCCAGCTCAGCCTTGAAACTAGAGGCGGAACTTGTTTGCAAGGCTGGTGGAGCTTGCACAATGCAGCCCGACCCGAGGTAGTTGATATATATATATATATATGCTTAGCCTGACTTTTTTTGTCAAACAGGCTCGTATCAAATCCTAGATGTTGCCGCCGTCGCGAGTCTGCAGTTGCTAACTATACGCAAAAGCAGGAGGCTCTGCATGTAGAACAATCGTAAGTGCGCGCCGGCATGCGCCGGCACTGGCCGCAAAGAATGTGCCTCTAAACTTTCAGACCGCCCGGACCGCAACCTAACAGGCATACAGACATAAGTCGGTGGCCAGCAAATCCTCCAAGCTGGGCACCGCCATGTCAGACCTGCAGTTCCAGTTTTATGTCAGAATCGCGCCATTTCAACACATGAGATACAGCTGGGCTTTTACTCAAATGGATATGGGACAAATTGTGATTCCCCCTGAGCTCGCGTCTCGCGTTGACTCCTAGCGCATCGCACTTGCAATCTCAAATACCGCCAAACCAGCCAACCCCCCTTTCTTTGTTTGGTTTTTCTCCCTCTCTCTCTCTCTCTCTCTCGCTCTCTCCATCTCTTTCTCGCTCTCTCCCTCTCTCTCTCTCGCTCTCTCTCTCTCTCATATATATTTTCTTCGCTCTGTGGCACACTGCACAATACCTGCTGACTCTGAGCAGCTTGCCAGCTTGTCCAAGCAAAATCGCGACCCAAGGCGTTGTGAGAAGACTAGGAAGCTGTGCTGCATGTGCCAAATGTCAGTTCTTCAATGCAGTGGTCGCGCACCCCCAGCAAGCCGTCTTCCAAGTTGTGCGGTGTGTGAAGTGGCCATGGTCACTTCTCTTCTGGGCTGTGCAAAGATGTTCCGAACATCCTGTTTGCCACTTGCTGCAACCTAGTCGCAACGACTTGCCTCATGCTGGAGCCTGCTGCCGGGAGACAGCGCGTTGCAAGCCGACAATGCTGGCACCTTGAGGAGCCACTCATTCCAACCACACAGCTCCTGTCTGCCAGCAGGTTCCGAGAGGAAGCCCAAGCTTCTTCAGTGCAATTCTAAGCCGGCAAAGCAGGACGCACAGGCCCTGGGGTCAATACAACCCAACCTCACAAGCACCAAAACACAACAAACACACACACACAAACATATGGTGGCGCATGGAATTCCAAGAACTGAGGCTGCGTGATGGGCTCAAAGCCTTCCAGGAAGACCCGTAAACTAAGGGACCCCTGCTCTTTGCACGGTCACTGCGCAGGCATGTTTTGCTCTTTCCAATCTTCGTGCTCGCGTCCTGTGGGAGGCGTGAACGCCTCTCTCGCCAGTTCGCTCTGAGGCGTGTGGCCCACGCCTCTCATTTCTTGGCGGCAAAATGGTCTGCATAGAGATGCTGCAAACTCTCCGTCATGAACTCCAGAGACTTCCCCACAGCAGCCGCGTGCGCCTGCGGAAAGCTGCGCTGTGGAGACCCTTCAGCTGTTTGTCTCTTTACCCCTGCAATGCTGAGAATGGTCAGCTGCCACGCCCCGGAATGGAGGATGGCAAGAAGGCATCATCATGCGAAGAACACTGAGGTTAAGGCCATGCCGGCCCGAACTTTGCCAAACACACAAACCATGGCCAAGGCATGGGTGAAAACCTCAGTCAAGTCAACCTGATATCCTCACTGCTCCCAATGCCTCCTTGATGTGCTTGGCGAGCTCCGCTGACGACTCCTCATCGGCGATTTCGAGGGCGATGGGCCGCTGACCTCCGTCGACCTTCACAGTGACACCGCCAGCTTCGCCCGCAAACTCCGTCCCGCTCAAGCTGCTGCGCAGGCCCTGGAGCGGACATGCCAGGGCATGAAAGGGCATGAAACATCAATATGGAGGGAAGCCACATCGAGACCCTGCTTGCACTCCCCTCAGCTGAACCCAGGCCTGTGTTCGCCCCGTCAGCGACTCCCACTCCTTGAGAGCTGTGATGGAGTCCCCCCAATCTGCATCTGCCGGCTTGAAGTTGGACAAAACCTCCTCGCCGGACGGGCCGAGCTTCAGGCGAATGCTGCCTGGCCGAATCCCTCGTACCACCCCCCCCCGCCCGCCAACAAAAAGAAGGTCTTGCAAGCACACAGCAGGCACAAGAAGCCCCCTCTGTCCCCTGAGGACCGCACGCGCACACACACACACACACATGTACACATGTACAAACACAAAAACTCGCACGCGCAATATGAGCAAACTCTTACGCGCGCCTGCCGGCGGAAGCTCAGCCACCAGCCAGTCATCCTGTTCCACCAGCTCCCCCCGTAGGTTGTTCTCATGGAAGTACAGCTTGCCATCCTGAGACCCAACCAGCGTCAGCGAAGCAAACTGACCAGAGAGCCATCCGTTTTTCAACTCCGCGCTCCTCCTTCTTGATCTCATACCACCCGCCGATATACCGCCACACGGATTCCAAGGCGTCGGTCGCTGGAGCTGGAGCTTCTGGAGCTTCGGCAGCTTCGGGCGCTTCGGTCGCTGCCCTAGCCGGGGAAAGAAGCGGCCTCCTAGCGGCAGGTGCCGCAAAGGCGTCCCTTGGAAGCCAGCAAAGCCTGAGCCGTCATCTTTTGGCTTGTGAACTCTCATGGACACTCGCACCTGTCGAAGCAAAAGATGAGATGAGCACCCATGCAAATAGCCCCATCATTTCTTTGAGAAATCGAGGGCATGCAGCAAGGGTAATTAGACAGAACACATGGTCCCGAACCGTGGACCCGACGGATTGCGCCAAGTTCGAGCAAGCGGCAAGACAAGGCACTGGCCTAAAAGGGCCAGTCCCACTGTGGGCCGTCTTCGCACCATGCTGTACCCGACCCCGCTGGCTTGGGAGGCCACGGCTAGCGGCTGGGCAGTCACAGTGTCAAGTCGCTAAATGTCGGGATCACGAGGAATCTTGAACTGGCAGTGGCTCAAAAAACCAGTACCAAAATGGAACCCTGGTAAGTGGAAACATGGACCAAAACCTGCGTAACCCCTCCTGTTTAATTTTGAGCCATACCCAATTGGCTCGTCTGGTGTTGGACCTTCAGCCTTTGTCTATGATTCGTGGTGGCACTGCTGTAAGTCTGGCAACGGTTCAGACATGCAGGGTACATGCTGCTTCATGCTTCATGGTTTCATTGTCCTTCCCCTTCGGTCATGTCAGGTTATGGCACCGTGAAGCACATGCTGCAAGCCGTAGGGGTATGATAGGCTTCAACGGTGATACGCTGAATCAAATGCGCACTCTTTTGCCAGGATTGCTACCCCAGACTTCCGCAATGCCTGGACAGGGCGGCTCCAAAGATTCCAAGCTGGTCAAACTCGCGCTGGTTCTCAGCCCCATCAACAGGACCCCTTTTGCACATTTTTAGGGAAGGCCAAACCCTCGCTATTCTGTCCATGCAAGTCACAACTCCCACCTGCCACCCAGCAGTGGACATTGCGGTGGCTGCATGCAGCCCCCCTGCCCCTTGTGATCACTGCATTCACCTTGGCACGTGAACCAGCGGCTGCATGAGCAACAGCAAAAGAGTGCTCCACAGTGCCCTGTGCGCTTTTTGGGGGCACAGTGGCCACGCCAAGGATTATCTTTCCTAATCCGACTTTCCCCCAAACCACTGAAAGCAAGCATGGCGTGCCCAAAGGCTGACCAATTATCCAATCAAATGCAAGCGAAAAGGTGCGAACATTGGAGTCTGAGCAGTGCACTTGTGCTGGCTTTGCTTCGCCTCAAGGCCTTGCCGCTCGCAGCTGGTGGCTCTGTCGCAGCATGTCCAACGGTCAAATCAGTCAACGCCTGCTTGCTGACCATTGCTGCCTGAGCGAGGCGGGTTTTCGAATGAAACTCAAGCGGGCACTAGCTAGGATTCGGGCAGTAGTGCAGAATGCTCCCCTGCTTGTGCGCATCAGTCCTTGAGCATGCCCTATATTTCTGAACTTGTTCAACGCACCCTTCCTTTGAAGCCGCCACGCAAGTGATATTCTGACCAGCGTGTTCTGCTTCGGTAACCGAAGCTCATTTAGTTTTCTACCAGCAAGCGAACATGTTCATGGCCGTCGCCACTCAAGATCACTGAGGCTAAGAGGCCCGGATCAAGTCATAGGATGACCATTGGAAAACCACTAACAAGATTATATATTTCAAGCACTGAATGAGAAAGTTACCTACCAGGAATATTCATCAAGCCCATTATGGACGACCTTTGTCTTCTTTTTGCCTCTGCCTTCTCTCAGGATCTCAAATGTGGCGCAGGTGAAACAATGCTTCGAGGCATTTCGACCGTGCAGTCTGCAAACAAATCTGACACATAGCCCTTGGCCCCGCAAAGAAAAGCCAGCATAACATAGCGAGCCAAAGGGCCAACGAAAATGTTGGCAGCCGTGATCGAAACTGTCAAAGGACACAATAAAATCCACAACAGCTTAGACATCAGGGCGTTTTGCCGCTTTTCAGCTCAGTTCCGGGACTTTGCCCGGGTCATGTGCTCAAAGAGAGTTCACCTATGTCAACGAAGTTGCCTCCCAGCGTTTCATCTCAGCAACTACTACAAGTTTACATAGGCACCTCCTGCGCTGACCCAGCCTGGTGGTCCAGTGCTGAAAGGGCCGAACGTCTCGGTGGTCCTTCGTCTCGCAGAGCATCCGAAATTCAACAATTGACTGACTCAGTGGTTGTGCCACGAGAGTTTGTTACAAACAGCCGTGTGTCACAGGTTCCCCAATGTTTTTGCCAAACTGCAAGCGGCATGACAGCTGCTCAGCTACTGTAATCATTGCAAGGAAGCAAGGCATATATTGCATCCAAAGTGCACGAGCAGGGAGCGTCGGTAGTTCGGCGCAAGGCGCGTGCAAGCCTGGGGTGTTGCCTGCCAACCTTCTGCCGCAGGTGTGGATTCTGCTGATTCACTTGGCAAACAGAAAAGAACGCTGCCGGAGACCACATGGTTCCAGCGTCTGCGCCTCTCATCCCATTCGATGCTTGATGATCCTAATGCTACATTCGTCCACTTCATCTCCTTTGCCAGGGTTGCGGGATCAAGGGGTTTATCCCCACTTCTGTGATACAAGGGAATCCCCTGTTTAAAAGGGGGTGGTAGTCTTTGGGAGACCCTTTTTGTTGTATCGTAGAAGTGGTCATTTCCCACAGCCCTGTCCTTTGCTGATTTGCAATACCTGCCAGGCACTTGTTTCAGAGCTGAAATCGCAAATGGCTCACACGAAGGAAGCTTTCCACCAGAGTAGTACACATCAATCTTCTGGTCGGTGTTGGCTGGCTTGCTGTACCTGACGCGCAAAGGCACACACGCACCCACACACACACACACTCGCGCATTATCACAAAGTGGCAGTCCGACAGTCAAAAAGCCCCACAGTTACACACACTCACACAATGACACACGCATAGTCACACCAGTGAGATAGCCACACACACACTCACACAAACAATCACGCAATCGCACAGTCACATTACCACACTGTGACACAGTCACCCACAACCACGTAGTCACACTCACACAATCACAAAATCCCACAATCACATAATCACACAATTACGCACACAGTCGCACACACACGCATGCAATCACACAATCACATAATCACAAAATGACGCACACAGTCACACAGTCACCAACACACACACACACACACGCACGCAATCAAACAATCACAGAATCACACAACCACACACACTTTAGCGCACGCGCGCACTCGCGCGCACACGCACACAAGCACACACGCACACACCCACCCACGCACCCACGCACACACCCACACACACACACGTACACACACACACACACACACATAGGCACAAACACAAACACAGACACGCACAACAACACACACACAAACACACAAACACACACACACACACACACACACAATCACATGCACAAACACAAACACAAACACACACAGACACACGCAAACACACACACACACACACAAACACACGCACACACACACAGCACACACACACACACACACGCACGCACGCACGCACGCACGCACGCACGCACGCACGCACGCACGCACGCACGCACGCACGCACGCACGCACGCACGCACGCACGCACGCACGCACTCACGCGCGCACGCATGCACCCAGCCACCAACGCACGCACGCACGTTTTCTCTCCCTGTCACACACACACACACGTGGGCCCGCCCCACTAAAACGTCAAGAAAACATGCCCCTTCAAACCACAAGAGCCTGCCACTGCGTTGCTACTTGCAGAAGCAAAGGCCAATGCAGAAAAGGTGCTGCACGTGGACATCCACCTTGCTATCAAACTGCACCATCAAGGCGCCAAAGCGCCCGTCTGCAGCAGTTCTGTCTGGAGATCTGCCATGGTAGTCCTTGCCCTCTCCCCAAATTTGCAGGCCAGGCAGGGGTTTCTTGCTGGCATCCACAACCAGGCCTTGAAGGAGAACGGCTTTGTTGGGACTGTTGTAAAGCATGTCCACATTCCAATAACCAAATTTCTGGACGGGAGCTGCCAGTGACTTTGTGCCTTCCTGGGCAAGGATGGCCATGAACTTCTCGGGTGTGATCCAAGAATCACTGACGTGTTCCGGGTCATAGGATTCAATACCTCTCGCCATCTTCTTCTTTCTCGCGCGCGAGCGGACCGTGGCATCTGTTGTCGCCACCTCTCGCGCGGTTTTGCGCGTTGAGTTCGCGGCCGGGACGCCATCCACCGCCATGTCCGCAGCTTCCAACTTCCACTTCCCAGTCTCCGCATCGAAGCTCCACATCTCCGGGGTGACGCCCAGCTTCTCGCAATTCGCCTTGGCTTGCGTGTGCAAGTCCAAGACCACCTCCGAGCCCTCGCGGACCTGCGGGAGAGCCGAGTCTCAAACCCCAGCCCAGCAAGAAACACACATCAGCATCAACAAATATATCTATACAAATATATATATATATATATCTTTGACTTTGAAGATCTCCCACCTCCAACTCTTCACCCTTGTCATCGGTGGCATTGATCCACGCCGCCCCCAGACTTTCCAACATCACTTCCTGTCCATCCGCGATGGCGGTGAAGTCTCCGGGCATTGAGGCCAGGGACTGGGGGTCCGTCACGTCGATCACCGAGAGGCTCACCGTGACGGGGCCCGTGCACGGCCGGCCGTCGGCGTAGCACAGGGCGTTGCTGGGCACCGTCACCGAAGATCCGGTCACGGGATCCTCCACAGAACCCCCGGCAGTGGCGTCCAGGGTGGCAGAAGCGGACAATGGACGTAGAACCACCTGGACAGATTCATCAGATGCTGGAACCATCGTGGGTGCAAAGCCTTCACATTGAAACGACAAGCATGACCATGTTGAGGAACCAGATTTGCCGGAGGTCTGGCTCGCAGTCTCCGGCACATCGGTCTCATCATCCTCAAGTTGAAAGTGGCCTTCTTCATCTGACAAACAGCCAGTGGCCTTCCATTTGATGTTCACGTTGCTCAACGGGTTGCCCTTCAAATCCGTGACTTGCCCCAAGATCTTCTTCTCGCGGGTTGGCTCGGAATGCGCGGCTGGCACGGGCGGCGGGGATATGGCGGTCTGAAGCTCTCCCCAGGAGAGGCAGCGGTCCCAGAGCGCGATGGCTGCCACATCCAGCTCGTTGCTCGCCCAGCCGGCGGATCGAAGCTTGCTGCCCACCAGGCTGGTGGGAAACGTCCCCAGATCTAACAGACCTTCGGCATCGACGGCCAGAACTGAAGTACCACCTTCAGTGGACCTCAGGAAGACCTGCACCCAGCCCTGGTGCAGAAAGTCTGCGGGCAACTCGTTGATCTCATCCGCATTCAAACCTGTACAGGCTTGAAATATTTTTAGTGAGAACGAGGCGCGGACAGGGATGTAACTAAAACACGGGTGTATTGTGGACGCTGTAACGCCCTAGGGCCTGCTTAGAACTCAGGGCGAGGCTTCAAAACACGCTTCTGAAACCTGCAACCACCTGCAGGATTTGAATTTGCAGCTCACTTGCTGAAATCTTTGCGAGAAGCAGCACAGCTTCGCTTTGTCATCTCCGGGCACAACCAACCAATGCTTGTTGTCGTGGCCCAGCAAAATGCTGTCCCATCCAGCCGTTGAACCGTCTCCGGCGCGGAAGCAAACTCCTCAGGAGGATTCGGTGGGGTTTTGGTCGAACCGCTGATGAGGCTCTCATATATTGTTGGAGAGGAAGAAAAGGCCAAGTGAGTAGAACAACTGAATTAAATTATGTCAGACATTGTAGTTTTGGTTGCGCTGCTTTCCACGTCCCATCCTACGGTGAAGGACTCCGTCAACTCCAACAGTCCATTTGGATCCTCCAGCACCCGCAGCCGTGCCTTTCCTGGACCGCCCAGCCTCATCGCAAAGGCGATGCGCTGTTTGTCGCTGCGGGGTTGGGTCACAACTAAACCACCAGGAATGGAGCGCAGGTTTTAGTCTTTCCATTGCTCAGGGTTCAATTTCAGGGTTGCCAAGACTACTTTTTGCCAACCACCCAGTTGGGGAAAGTTGCCAAGACTACTTTTTGACCACCCGTTGGATGCGCAAATGCTCACCCTGAAGGTTCCGAAAGACACCTCGGACACCACAGCCATGGGATGGACGGATCCAAGATGGCCGATGGCCTGGCCTCCAGAAGCCAACTCCCTTCTCTGAGCAGGCCGCTGGGGCACCGATCTGAATTCCGGGCAGTGTGGCACCTGACGCCCAGCGCAAGGAGAGGAGGAGAAAGGAGGAGTCATCTTAGAAAGTATGCAAAAACAAACTGAGCGCCCTTGTCTCAATGTGTCCTGAGTGTTCATAATACCAACTTCATTATAGGTATTACCTGCAACCCGCTTTTGCCACCGCCAGCACAACCTGCTGCAGGATGCGCTCTTCGGATGTGATAGTTTTCTACAGCCTGCCTGGATAC